TAGTACTACAGCTAAGGACCTCAGAATTTGCCAGGCCGACGCGCCATAACATACTGCCCCTCCGGCTCCTCGCCTGCTCATCTTCACCCTTCTCCTCCTTCTCCATCCGCCCCTGCCCCGCTCTCCCTCCTGGGCGGGGATGGATTCGCGCATTTCGCAGGATGTGGCTCGAGCTCAACGAGGAGGCTCGAGAGCCCGACGATCCAAGCCAGTCCACGGCTTAGCGTGCTTAGGACCAGAGGCAGCCGAGGTGCAGTTCTAAGGTGCTGTTGTTAACTTGCCCAGCAGCCGCGAATGCTTGTTCTTGTATGTTCTGTTTTGGTTTGCACTGAGACTGCGACCCTCCCGGCGACGCTTGTGCGTCTCTGGGATCTCTCTTTTTCCCCGCTTCCAGCGACCGCCTTTTTTGGGGGGCTCTCTCAATCCCCTTTTTGCATCGGCGCAGTGGTGGTGTCGGCTGGGGAGCCTCCCTTCGCCTCTCCATCAGCACTCAGGCCCTGGCCCCCGACCCGAACCCCAGAGCGGTATAGGCGAGGGAAGGAGAGAAGACCAGGAGGAATTAGGCGGGGAGGCCCCATTTACTACCAGAACCCCGTACTGGGGAACTCGGGCATAGACCTTGTTCGATGATGGCGCATTATCGGGACATCGACCCTTGCGACGCCCGCCCTGGAAGAACATGCCGATGATAGAGGCACGAGTAAGAAATCGAATATTGGCACCCTCAGAACAAAAGCACAAACACGATCATGTGCACACACGCACACACGACACACAGACACATAACATGTGCCACATGACATGCGCACACACATGACAGGCGAACCCCGCGCACTCCCCACAGGAGCACTCCATTATCTGCTTGGACCACCCCACCCTCCCCCTGGCCCACCCCCCACCCCCCGAGCAAAGGAGAGAGCGAAGAGGAGAGGCCATGCCTCAGCCCAGCCCCGAGCAACAACGTGAATGCGAGGACGTGGGACAGAAGTTGAAATCAGGCCCCGAGCACGCTGCCACGCTATCGCCCCCCGCCCGCCAGGAAAGGGGGCCCACTCCCTGAGAGATCTCCCGGCGCAGGGGGAGTGGGCTCCACGTCGTCAGGGTGCAAGACCCCCACTCCTTGGGGGGCGGTGCAAGACCACCACCCGGCGCAATGGAGTGACCAGAGGGCGACGACGCCCCAGCGGACAGATCACCCGAGCATATTTCTCACCTGAGCTGTTTTTGTTTTGTCTCCTGCGTTTATACTGGGCCAGAGTAGCCTTCTGCGCTCGCTTTGGCGGCGCTTCCCCGCCCGCCCCCCCCCGCCCATTCCACCCGCCTGTCAGTCGGCGCTCTACTCCGCGGAGGTCGGGGGACCACAACTGCGCGGCGCCCCGGAGAGGCACCTTAGGATCAAGACGCCCAGACCGAGGCGCCTCACTTCGCCTGCCGGTCCCGGGTGATCAGGCGGGAACCAGCTTCACGCTGCCCGTTGTGCGGGGGAAGATTCTCGGAATCCAACCGCCCCCGCACATACATGGCAGCGAGCCGTCCCCGCCCGCCCCACTCATCGTAGTCTGGGCCAACGTATAGCGGTGAGGAGCACATGAAGGGTCGTACCTGGGACGTGTTCCACAAAGCGCACCCCCACCGCACCAAGCTTAGGTCACCGTGAGGCGACGGGAGAAGTCCGGGCTGGGGGGAACCCGAACGATCCCCCATCTGTGGGTTGGCCGCCCCCAGGCGCCATCGCAATTCTGCGCGCGCACTCGACCGAACGCCCCCCCGGGCACCCGGAGAGCGTTGCCCCTCGGCTCAACTGGGAGGTTTGGGCACTTCGAGCTTATTTCGGCGCCGTACCGCCCAGTCTCTTACCCCGAGACGCCTACCGCTCCCGTCCGACTCGGCGGTCTATGGACGTGCGGGTGCGGTTAACATTGGCGGTCACACCCGGCACCGCGGCCCCGGGAGCAGGGCGTAGGCTGGTGAGAACTACGGGCGCGTCCCCCGACGCCATAGCTAAGGCTGGACGTGGCATGTGTTTCCGAGGATCCGACACGCAGCATGGAGCAACCCAGACACGAGACCCGAGACCCTGCATGCACCAACCCAGCGCGCATGCCACGCCGCGCAAACACGCACGCACACAAATACACGCCAGGCACATGCAACACTCAAACGGTCGCACGCGCGCGCAAAGACACTCGACCCGTCTGTTGCCAATATTCGTAGTTCCGCCGTGCCCGTGGATCGTGGCCCGAGTCCGCCACCGCTTCGGAGTGTGGGCCGCTGGCCAGAAATTCTTGGGCTGGGCCCAAGATCTCGTGACCACGGATCTCTGTGACCTTGGGCGGTGTCGCGGGTCCAGGGCAGTGGGCGAATGAAGGGGATCAGGTCAGAGTATGATGTCGCCGCGTGAGCCGGGCCGTCTTCGGGTTTCTTGAAATCACATTTTGGGGCCTCTTAGGGGCAGCTCGGGGCTGTCTTTGCGCCTTGTTTGGCCGTTCTAGGCTGCCGTCCAGGGCGATCTTAGTGGCGTTTCGGGACTTTGGGGATTGGAGCCGTCTTGGGCGATCTCCTTGGCTCTGGATGCCGTCTTGAAGCGCTCCTTGGACATGAACAAAGCATTGGACATGCAAATTACAACTTTTCATCCTCACGTTTTTCTGTTCTCGGATGCGTCTTGGGCCTCCCCTGGGCCATGTTTAGCGGTATCTTAGGGCCCTGCTGGGCTTTTGAGGCCCTCTTCGGGGCCTCTTGGGGTCGCCCTGGAAGCCTCGTAGCGTACCGTGGGAGCCTTGAGGTATCAACCGATGGTAGCACACGAAGTCTACTCGGGATTGTTCGTAAAGAATTGATAATCTTGATTATCGGCCGTATGAAACGTAACGCAACCTTTTACATGACTCAGGGGCCCCTGAACATCAAACGGCGATGGTACATGGCAATCGTATTGCAACGCTGCAAGCAATACTTCACATCTGTGCTAATCTGCATACACACTGATAAGAATGAACACTACACAAATTCGGTAGAACAAGGGTGATATCGACACGGGCGGAAAAAGGAGTTAGCACAGATTCGCTTTAAACCAATCATCGCCTAGAACAGGGCTCCCCAGAACTTTACCAGGAAACAAAACTCAAACTCGAAACTAACCAGAACTTCAAAACGATCGGGAACGGGACCGAAGCTAAAACAGACAAACATCCCTGACACCGCAGGTCCCAGGACACAAACCTTGTCCGACAAGACTGTGAAACCACCGGCGGTCGCGACAGCGACATATATCTCCTTAATTATTTTCAGCAGCCAGGCGATCGGTCGACCTCGCCTGGCAAACAAGTCCGCGCCTCCGACGGCGCTCAGCAAGTCGTGCTTCTCGAAGCACCTCAGCAAGTGCGGCATCGCCGCCATGTCGCCATAGGCGTGGGTCCCCCTCGTCGTAACGATCAGCTGAAGAATGCCCCGTGGGCGTACTCTGGCAGCGGCTGGAACCTCGGCTGTGCCAGGTCCAGATTGTAGCGCGTCGGAGCCTGGCAGCACATGTCGCGCGTCTTCTTCTGCTTGATCGGCTTCGTGCTCGTTCCTGTCGTGGCGGTCTCCGCCGTCGTCGATGTGGTCGGGACTGGTCCCGTCTCCGGCTCCAGCGTCTTGTAGTCTGCGCTTGTCGTCTTGCTCGTCAGGTGCATCCACCACACCCCTGCGCAGAACCCACAGCCGAACGCCAGGATGAGACATATCACGATGCCGAGCATGAGCAGCTTCGTGATCAGGTCGCTCCAGTCGTCGGGCGCCGGTGTGTTGAACAGCTCAACGCCGCTGGGCGTGTACTTCATCAACTCTCCGGCTGCACTCGATGCTCCGCTCGCTGCCAAGGTTGCCGCCAACTTCGCACCACTCGCGCCAAAATGGCGCTTCCTCTGTTTGGGCTTCTCCTTTGGCTTCGCCTCGAGCTCGTCCGCCAGGTCATCTCCAGCCTGGTCCAGCTCCTTCTCGCGCTGCTCCATCGCGCGCTTGGTCAGCTTCTTCCCGGCCACGAAATTCGGGTCGTACCGTAGAGCGTGAACTCCACGGCGCAGCACGTCCGCCATCTGCTGGCGTGCGGAGAGCTTCGTCAACCCGTCCGCCATCTGCTGCTGGGTGTTCACCCACTTCCACACTGCGCCGATCTCTTCCATCTGCTCGTTCACAATCTTCACCTCGATGGCCGTCCGCTTCTCCGTGATGCCCAGGCCTGCTGTGGCTGACCTTGAGGCGTCGTAGAGACACTTCGCATCCGTGATGAACGGCGACTCTCCGAGGTACAGCATCGCTTGGTCTGGCTTGAAGTCTGGCCGCAAGCTCAGCGTCAGGTAGATCTTCACCCACATCAGCGAGTCCACGCCTAGCGCAGCTGCCTGCGCCACCGCGGACAGCGAGCTCCTGCACAGCCGCACGAGCTTCTTCGAGGCCCACTCCACCCCCACGAACGGTGTCGGGTTGCCGTTTGGCAGGTCGTCGTCGGGTCCAACGAAGATCGTATAGCCACCCTGCGAGCTCCCGTCCAGGCGGCTTGCCCAACTCGCGTCGGAGTAGCCTCCCACGCGCAGCTCGCTCCAGGCCTTGTCGAACCCGAAGTAGAGTCCCACGTCCGCGTTGGCCTTCAGAAAGCGCAGGTCCTTGTTCGCGTCAAGGAGGTCCTGCACCGTAGCATTTCCCGTGGCCGCTGCCCTGAAAGAAACAGTCGCTGCGGCTATCATCACTCCTTGAGCCGCAGGCCACTGCAGCTGACCGTTCAGGGTCCTGAAACTGGTGAGCTCCCTCGGCGTCAGCGCGCTCGTCGGGTCTGCCCGACGGTGCTTCTCGATGGTGATGGGCTTCACCGCGTGCAGGTACTTCTCGAACTTCAGGGTCACCGCGTAGGTGCTGAGAGACTGCTCTACCTCGCCGCCGGTGAAGATCAGGCTCGGCCCGAAGTCCCACTTGCCGAACGTGAACTTCTGGTTGAGCGCGCCCAATCTCGCTTGGAAGCACTCCGAGTTGTCCAGCATGGTGTGCAAGTCGTCCTCGCAGTTGACTCCCTCGCCGCATCCGATGAAGTCGTCCACGTGCTTGCCGATCAGGCCGTCCACCACGTAGGTCTGGTCCTCGAAGCTGCACACGTCGAACGGGTCGTCCTCGACCTTCGCCGGGCGCAGGGACAGCAAGAGGCAGTCCTCGAGCCAGTGGTTCCTGAACCCGATCTCCTTCGTGACTTCGTCGGACCGGTAGTGCCAGAGCTTCGGCGACCTCGGGTCCCCGAAACATGGCTTGATCATCTTCAGCAGCTGTCCAGGTTGCACGCCGATCTGCTGAGAGAGCATCTCCCTCATCTCCTTCGTCGGGCTCGCGACAGCTTGAGTCCGCGTACGCTCACGTCCTCCGCCTGCAAGAATGCGGACTTCACATCCGCCGTGAACAACCTCCACTTCCGTAGGGGCGCCCAGAGCATGACCGTGTGCCGGCCCAGTCTGCTCAAGGTCGGCGCCTCCTTGTCGAGCTGGCCCTCGGCGACGTCGCGATGCTTGATCCCCTGGTACAGCACACGCGCGTTCGCCACCTTCTGTCCGTCTTTCATCTTCCACTTCAGCAAGAACCGCAGCGGACAGCAGGCTGCTGGGTCCACGTCTTCCTCGTTAATGGGCTCCCAGCCGTCGTTCTGATTGAACACCTCGAGGGCCTCCAGCTTCGCTGCGTAGAACTGTTCCTTCTCCTCGGGCGTCAGCTTTCCCTCCACGATGGTGGGGGCTTTCCGCTTGAAGGCCAGCATGTAGACCGTCGCAGTGGACTCTTCCAACAATAGCATCTCGTCGTCTACTTCTTCGAGCAGCGTGGCGTGCTCGTCAGGAGGGTTCAGCTTGGCCCACGTCAAGCGGGCTCGCTTCGATAGCGGCACGCCATCCAGCTTCTCGGCCTCCTCTACGCTCCTCTTGGCCATCGTCTCGATGTAGAGCCGGCTGGGCTCTGGCGCTGCATGGCTCGATGCACTTCCGCTCGCGGCGGCGCCAGCGTCAGCCGCTGGGGAACGTGGTGAGTCTCGATCAACTGCTTCCACGCCACCAGGATCGCCAGGCTGAGCTTCTTCGGGAGCTGCCGCTGCAGCTGCCCCCGATGCCTCGCCGGGCTCCTCCGTGTCTGTCTCCTGGACGTCGGGTCCCCGCGCCTGCGGCTGGTCCCCCATGTCGTCCAGGTTGTCGTCGTACTGGGGCGTCTGCCCCTCCTCCGCCAGGTCCCTGTAGTTGCAGGTGCCCTTCGTCCGCTTCAACGCGCGGCGCAGCTTCTCGATCAAGCTGAGCGGGCTGTCGGGGTCGTCCCTGCGGCCCTCGCGCTCGCGGGCCTCGCCTGGCAGTTCGGGTCGTAGCTGCTCGACCGTGCACCTGTAGATCACGCGCCCGTGTGTGGCCCAGACCACTGAGGTGTGCATCACGTCGTCCTCGTTGGGCTTCGCCTTCACGGCCACCACCAGCGCGGGGCCGAACCAGTGGCACTTCTCCAGGCCACGCGAAGGCTCAGGTCTCCAAATGTAGACCCACTCGCCAACCTCGTATTCTCGGCGGGTCGGCCTGCTGCGGGCCAGCAGGGCTGTGCGCACGGCGCGCGAGCAGTTGGCCTCGATGAAGGCCGTGCCGGCAGCGACACGCCGCAGCATCATCTCGTGCACCTCGCTCCTCGGGTCGACCAGCGCGGACTGCTCGGCCAGGCCGAAGTCCTCGTCAGAGAGGGCGCTCAGCACGCGGGGCTGAGTCCCCAGCACCAGCATGGCGGGTGAGAACCCGTGCGCGTTCCGCAGTAGGTTGCGCTGGCTGGCCGTCATCCTAAGGGCTGTCTTGAGCGAGTCGTCGGGGAACTGCATGTGGTACTTGCTCAGCTGCTCCCTCCGAACCGCGTGGTTCCGCTCCATCAAGCCCAGCTTGTGGTGCGCGCCCTTCGGTATCAGGTCGAGCTTGATGTCGTGCTTGCTCATCCAGGAGTGCATCTTCTTTGACGTGTGCGAACCGCCCATGTCCATGCGCATCGTCTCGGGCTCGCCGGCCCAGCTAATCCAGAGCTTCTCGAAGAGCTTCTTCTCCTTCTTGAAAGTCTCCTTTGCGATGGGGTAGTCGACCTCGTAGCGCGTGAACTCGTCCATCATCGCTAGGATCTTCCGCTCCTTCGTCTTCCAGGTAACGTAGTACACGTCAGTGCTGACCACCTCGTTGAAGCGCTTGGCCTTCGGGAGCACGGCCACGCGCACGGTGCGCGGTCGCTGTCTCTTGAGGCAGATCTCGCACTGATAGAGCCTGGCGCACTGGATCCACTCTGCTGGGGCACCTGCGTGTCGCATGGCGTTGGCCAGCGCCGCATTCGAGGGGTGTCCCAGGCTGACGTGGGCGCTCTTGACCGCACGGATGGTCGAGACGTTGAAGCGCTTCATCAGCTCCTGCATTACGTCTGTGTACTCGATGGCGTCGATGTCCTTGTGCACTTCCTCGGCTGTGTAAATCTCGTCGATGTCGGCGGCCATGCCCTGGTAAGCAATCAGGTAAGCCATCCGTCGAGCCATCGGTGCGGGGTAGTTCTGAGCCTGCTGTGCGAGCTTGCCGCGTAGTGTCACGTGCTCGCCCCTGCACTCGCACCTCGGACCCATGTGATCGACGAACTCCTTGTTAGTGGACTGCAATCGCGTCGGCTTCTGGTACGGCTTGTCCACTCCCTTCATGGGGAACTTGGCTCCCAGGCGGCACTGGTCCAGCCGGCAGTGGTGGCCCGGCAGTGCCTTCCACGTCTTGGTGCTCCAGTGCGCTCCTGACCATGGGCCTTCCACATAGGCGTGTCGGCCTCCATTCAGCTGCTTCACGAACGAGTCACGGACCAACTTCAGAAACGTCTTCTCCTCGCGAACCCTCGCCTCGTGGATCTCCGCGGCGCGCTCTGCTGAGAGCGAGGCGTTCACGTACTGCCACGAGCACCATACCTTGCACGGGGGTGCGAAGAACATGTCGTCGGGTCTCTCGACGTCGATCTTCCTCAGGAACGCCTTAATCACCTTCGGCTTGGAGAAGTCCCAGCCGTCCTCGAGGCGGAACTGCATGACGTCCACCATGGGGTACTCGAGCAGCGCCTGCGACAGACCTCCTGCGTCCACGAATACCTCCCAGACCTTGCGCGGCGGGGGTCCTCGGAGCAGCTCCTTCATGCCGTCGTGTGCCTGCTCGAGGGCCAGGGCCAGGTCGGTGTAGGTGTCGGGGTCCATCGTGCTCGGTCTAGCGCTCTCGCTCGAACCCGCCGCCGAAAACTCCTGGGTCCGCTCACTTCCCACGTCGTCTTTGTCACTGATGTCAAAAAACTCGGTGACCGTCTCGAGGTAGTACGCGTCGGGGTCCACGTCGGACGATTCAGAATCGTCCTCGGACTCGCTCGGCGGTGCCTCGGACTCGTTGTCGGTCGAGTCGTCGCTGCTGGGCTCGCCCTCGGTCGGCGCGCCCTCGTTCATCGCGTCGTCGGTGACCCTGCCGGCGCCACCCAGCAGGTCGATGATGAAGTGCCCCTTCTCGTCTCGCTCGGACTTCATCCAGCCTTTGTCGGGGAGGTCCTTCATCATAAACGTGCCGGCGCGATAGTCCTGGACCAAACCCCACTCTTCCATGCACGGACGGGCGATGAGCAGCGGCGTCCACCCCTCGACGAGATGGATCGTGATCTGCTTCTTGACGCCGAACGGCCACACGTTCAAGGTCACGGACCGCTTGGCCTCCAGCGTCTTGCCGTCTCCGAATCGAAATCGTCGGTCGCTCTTGCCGTACTCGACCTCGTGCAGCAGCTGGCGTGAACGCAGCAGCTCCTCCCACTGCGCCCAGATCTTGTCGCCCATGACGGGTCGCGTCGCACCGCCGTCGCTGATGCCCTTGCCAGTCGACATCAGGTACACCTCCTCGGTCGAGTTAGCGTACTCTAGCGTCTCCACGTCTTCTACCATGGCGGCGTGCTCCGAATCGGGCTTCACGAAACCTCCTCCACGGAATCGCTTGAACCTCGGGCCGTGCTGCTGTGTCGAGCCAGTAGCGGTCGATCCTGCCGGCGTCGCCGACGGGGGCCTGTTGAAGATGTTCACCTTCGGCCTGAACACCTGGCGCGAGCCGGTGCCCTTGCCTTTGCCTTTGCCTTTGCTGCGGCCCTTGCCCTTGCCGCCCGTCGGCTTGGCAGAGCGCGACGCGCCCTTGCCGTGTTGAAAGTTGTTGCCGGGCGCGACAGCGACGATCGGGTAGAAACCTCTCGACTTGGCGATCTCCGCTACGCGCCTCTTCGCATCCACGAAACTGAGGTAGGCCTCGTCGCACGCGATCTGGGCTTCTTCCACGTCCTGCGGCAGCTCGTCGGCGACGTCGGCCTCTTCCTCGTACTCTTCAGCGTCGTACTCCTCGTACTCGTCGTAATCGTATTCTTCCTCCTCCAGGTATGAGTCTTCGTAGCTCAGGCCTCGCTCCCACTCGTAGTCGTTCGTGTAGTGCACGTCGTCCTTATGACCCTGCCCGACCAGCATCCTCTCAACTCGCTTCACGTCGCGCTTGTCGGGTACGGCTTCGGCTCCATATGTATCGAGTAGGGCCTTCTTCACACTAGTCCAGCTGAGGCCGTTGGCACATTGACTTCGTACCTGGGCGGCGCCCGAAGGTGGGACGGCCGCTCGTGAGAGGAGGTGCTAGCCCGCCAGCATGTCGGGAATCTCCATGCCGACCTCCTTGAGCTTCCTCAGCTCTCGCTTGTGACGCAAGCAGTAAAGCTTCATCGTCTCCTTATCCTGGCGAGCGAACTTGCCGAAAAACTGATCTGTGCGGGCTGGCAGCTCGGTCTGGTTATCGTACTTGTAGTACTCGTCGAGGACCTGGGACAGCGGCTTGAAGGCGTCCTCGGACTCCAGCTGATCCAGGTCGATGTCCTCCGTAGCCTCCGCGGCTTCACCCTGCAGCGAGTTCATGATCAAGAACGCGCCCTTGCTGACCGCGGTGGTGCCGCGCTT